TAGTCCGAACAGCAAAATATCTTATTGGCTTAATAACTCCGATCAGCTCGATCGAACAGCAAAGACTCTCATTAGCTTAATCACTGCAATCAGTTAGATCGATTAGCAAAGAATCCCACTGGCCTAATCACTCCGATCAATTTGAACGAACAGCAAAGAATCCCATTGGCTTAATCACTCCGATCAACCCGACCTATGAGCAAAAAATCTTATTAGCTTAATCACTTCGATAAGCTCGACAGAAGAACAAAAAATCTAAATGGCTTAATCACTCCGATCAGCTAGTCCGAACAGCAAAATATCCCATTGGCTTAATTACTCCGATCAACTCGACCGAACAGCAAAGAATCCCACTGGCCTAATCAATCCGATCAACTCGACCGAACAGCAAAGAATCATATTCGCTTAATCACTTCAATCAACTCGACCGAACAGCAAAGAATCCAATTGGCTTAATCACTCCAATCAGCTCGACCGAACAGCAAAGAATCCCATAATTGCTTGATCAGAGTGATTGAGTCAATGGGATTCTTTGCTGTTCGATCGAGCTGAACGGAGTTATTAAGCCAATGAGATATTTTGCTGTTCGGACTAGCTGATCGGAGTGATTAAGCTAAGGAGGAGGTAAGGCATTTTTATACATTATGGTACATTCGCTCGAATACAGCTTCAGTACAGAACACCGTTCTAACATGTTTCCTTCCTTCACATTTCCTTTATCACAGTCATACTCAGTCACACCAGTCCTTCCGGCTGTGTCCCAAAGCCCTGTTGACAAAACATTAAAGAATCAGTACAGCTGTAGGAATCCGCAGAAGATTGTTTAACATACTAAACTTGGTAGAACCAGAAAGTTCTGTTTCTTCAATCTGGAGTAATAAGCCATACATACTGAAAGCTATAGCCAACATAGACAGTTTAATTCTGTCGAGTAAAATCTAACTTATTTCACAAGTTCATCCCAACAGAAACACTTCTTACTCAGCAAATTATGAACAGCTGAGGACAATAAATTCCTTGCATTATGACCAACTTAAGACGACATAGTCAGTGCAATTCACCAAACATGACCTGTTCAATACGTTTTCTATACCATCTCTCACCTCTGCAAAACGTAGTCTATTTGACAAAGTCGATCCAACCAAACACTCTGCACATAAACTTCGCGTGAAGGGCCCAGCCGACACATTGGACTGTGTATAGACCTTATTCTTATTAAAAATGCTTTCCACTTGGATTTCTGACCGTCTGTTTTGGCGACTTTATGGTTTTCTTGAGTCATATTTTCTACAAAGAAAACATGCCAAAGACGGGGTGAGAAGTGACTGGCGGAAGAGGCGGGGGGGGGATATCGTGTTTTTTTGTCTAAGCAACAAAAGACCACCCCAGACCCAGATCTATGATATAACGTTCCTAGCAAAATGGATACGGATAGAGTATCTCCATTCGTTTTAGCCTGGCAAACTGGATCTGCATAGTTGTAAGGAGTATCTCCATTCGTTTTAGCCTGGCCATGGCAGCGGGGTACATCATTGTGAACAATGCACCACAAAAAGATATTTGAGTACATGATACACCAATATTTTACTAATTTAGTATTGGAGTGGTGGCATCAGCACTAAAACATTAGGTAACAACCTTCAAGCTCACTCTGACCCCCAAGCGTGATATAAAACTGAAACCAACCATAATAAAGAATTAGAAAACTTCGAATTAAGGGAAAATGAGTATAATCAAGGAAACCTAAATTATATGATTTGATTTTAAGATTTACATTGAATAATTAAAAAATGAAACGAGTATCCCCTGAGTATTCTCTTCTATATTATGTTTATGCAGAAGAATATCCGACTACAGATCGTAAACCTGGCTATGAATGGGCTTGGGAACGAGGGTGCCCTCGGGGTAGCAGAAATGATTAAGAAGTCTACCACCCTGACCCACCTTGACATTAGTAGCAACCGGATCGGTTTACCTGGAGCCAGTGCTATTGCAAAAGCCCTGGAGAGCAATGAATTGCTAAAGGAATTTAAGGTATGTTTCAGTGGTGAATAGTATATATATATATATATATATATATATATATATATATATATATATATATATATATATACACACAGAGAGAGAGAGAGAGAGAGAGAGAGAGAGAGAGAGAGAGAGAGAGAGAGAGAGAGAGAGAGAAGTGAAGCTATTAGTGTAAGTAAAATCAACAAGTTATGTATTTCACTAACAAGTGAAAATTTCAGAGTCGCGTACAGTATTGTGAATTAAATCCCAAATAATCCAAATGACCTATCTCACAAATCACAAAAACAAATGTTCCGAAAAATATAGAATGTACCAAATAAATTACAATAGTCTTGAATATCCTCGTGTAACACAATGATGCAGTCTAGAATGTTTTTGAATGAGACACAATAATTCCAAACTAGTGTGTATAAGTCAAAAATGTCAATGAGTAATTTGGCAATTCTACATAATGTACATAATGCAGATCATTTCCAAGGCCAAGGATGCTTACATTTAAATCTGAAATGCTTTTTTAAATGAAATTGTACAAAATTTTTATCTTTCTTTATTTACAAACCTATAGGTCCGTTACTTAAAATACAAGAAACACTGATAACACTGGTTGTTTTGATTAGTTGCTAACTTGGTTGTGGCTTTATCTTGACTCAATCATATTCCATTGTACAAATTTTGATGAACAGAAAAGGTCGAAAACATTTGGTTTATTCGACTCCCCTTGTTCGAGATTCAAAAGCGTGTGTCACATATCATCGACATACGTGTAATTTGTACTTTATTATAGGTACAATTAGTTGAGTATGAGAGCGCATTGTAATTAAGAAGTTTATTGAATATGGAGACTAATTTGTAAATATGCTATTTGAGAATGTTTTCAACTGGTGGAACATAATATGATACGTGTCCCTGGCACCGTCGTAAACCAAGGGCGAAAAACCGATTCGCTCATGTATGACATGAGGATGCTTGTGTTGAGATTTCTTTGTTTTGTTTTAGATACGCATAAACAAAAATATGTCATCAACTATGACTATGTAACTATCTCCTACAAATAAACGAAAGGGCCGTTTTATAAATCGATAGGAGTCTGTGTTTGGAAGAGAAATTCTGAATGGCTCATTCAAACTATAAACATTCACACAGTGTGACAATGACGAGAAATATTTTCTTGCAGTGATCGATTAAGCTGGTTTATGCATATTCACCAGAAAACAGGAAAGCTAAGCACGGGAAGGTACCGACGGTAAATTAGCGCCACGGATTACTGCCCTTGGCTTGAAAATGCATTCTTTTAAAATTATGGTTCTAGATATACGTTAGATTTACATTTTCATATCTCCTGAAACAAAAAGTCCAGGTGATAACTTTGAATATGTATAAGGCATATTAAATATCATTTATTATCCGTGTATCTCTTATATAAGCTTCTTCGTAAATATCGTAATCAAGTCGTAGAAAGTTAGCTCCCTTGGATTGACGTGTGGTGTCTCTAGTGTAATGTAGACTGTAACACTAACATGAATGGTGGTTAAATGTTCGCCTTTGTCTGCTCTTTGACAAAAATGTTTTAGATTGTGCACACATTAAAGCTAAATATGTGATTATATTTAGATTTGCAGGTTTGCTTGGCGTTGATTTAGTAATAAAAAGAAAAATAAATACAGGCTTACAGATTTATGAAAGTTTATACTAAGATCATGCGGTTAAATGTTTACGAAACCAATTAGCTCTATCAATTAATTAATCCTCATTATTGGTAATGCTATACTGTATATTAGATCTGTAATGGAAAGACTTTTAATTAATCCTCATTATTGGTAATGCTATACTGTACGTTAGATCTGTAATGGAAAGACTTTTAATTAATCCTCATTATTGGTGATGCTATACTGTACGTTAGATCTGTAATGGAAAGACTTTTAATTAATCATCATTATTGGTAATGCTATACTGTACGTTAGATCTGTAATGGAAAGACTTTTAATTAATCCTCATTATTGGTAATGCTATACTGTACAGTAGATCTGTAATGGATAGACCTTTAATTAATCCTCATTATTGGTAATGCTATACTGTACGTTAGATCTGTAATGAAAAGAATTTTAATTAATCCTCATTATTGGTAATGCTATACTGTACGTTAGATCTGTAACGGAAAGACTTTAGTCCTACTATTCGATATATGACAAGACTAAAACTGTTTTCCAAACCTGAAGAGAATGTACCTGCAATGAATACGGCGTTTATTTACTTTTCATAATATCATAATATAGTACAATTGTCCATCCTCACTAATGTCTTTTTCCTTGTTATTTTCAGATGGGTCATAATCCGTTTGGAGTGGATGGTGCCAAGATTTTTCTGAAAGTCATTACTGCTGAAAATAGTCGCCATGTTCTAAAATGTTTTGATATATCGGTGAGGTTATGTGTAATGTACCTTTATGGTATGTTGTTATATTGTAATGTGGGGAATCCATCTTCAACGATAATCGATCATGAAACTCACCATGATAATAATTTATTGAAAATACCAATATACTACTGATTCACTTAGAATAAATAGTAGTACAACTTTAAAGGGTGACTTAACCCTGGCTTTTTTACTTATATGTCCGGTACATAGATGCACTCCAAACATCCCAGTTTGATCTTTTGGGCTTGAGTTTAAGTTTCCAAACAGTTTGGAGAATGTGTGTGTGTATGTGTGTGTGTGTGTGTGTCTGTGTGTGTGTGTGTGTGATTTAGATTTTTAACGTAGCTTTAACAATTTTTCAGTCATATCGCTAATATATCTGCAGTGTGACAGTTTATAGTGATGTCTAACACTGGGGCATCATGCCGCAGACATGTGGCATGATGTCCCACCCAGTCACATTATCCTGACACCAGGCCAACCAGTCCTAACACTAACCTTTTAATGCTGAGCGCCTAGCGAGGCAGCTGTTAGTAACATTTTTAAAGTCTTTAGTATGACTCAACCGGAGTTCAAACCCGCAACCTCTCGCATCCGAGGCGGAAGCTCTAACCACTAGGCCACCCACCGGAGCGGTTAGTTTGGAGAATACTATAGACCAAGTCAATAATCCGTTTGTTTGTAAACCCCCCACCGATTTCAATAACAGAAACTTTTAATGTGATACAAAAGTGCAAAGAACTTAGTGAATTCATTTATTGATTTATATTTTCTAAACTGAGAATGGCCATTACACCGACATCGTCTGAGCGTTTCATGCTTAACGGAAGCTTCCAAATATAATAGACGAACATGTTTGAGACCCATTTCCAGTTCCTGGGCCAGTCCATTTTCAGCAAAGGGGTGTATGCTCGACCAAAGATGTACTTACATTTGTCGTCTGCTTCCGATATTTACAGTGTCGAATCAAGCAAAGGAAAAGAATGACAACAAAGCATTTGCCTTTCACGTGAATTTAACAAGCGATTTCATTAATATGTTCATGTGTGCAAAGGAATATAATTCCAAATTCAACGTTATATTAATTTATGGAATTATCCAGCAGTTACCGTATAGGATGAATTACGTCATTATGTTGTTGGATGGAAGTAAACTGCCCCATAATGTATGGAATATGGCGCCGTGTTAGTATGGAAAGTCCGTTCAGCATGAAAGGTGCAAGGAGATGCCAGTATTAGTGCCATTCTGGTCACAGTCAGGTTAGAAATTATAAATCAATGATTCAATTGTATTAGTTCTGAGCACTTTTTATCACATTAAACAATTTAGTTATTGAAAACAGTAGGGGTACAAACAAACGGGGATGTAGCGACGGACTATTGACCGTTTTCTCTACTTTGAGATCAATTTGAGTATGAAATTTATATTCGTGTCATGCATTCATTTTAAGTATGAAATTATTATTCGTATTGTGAAATATATTTCATTATGAAATTGCTATTGGTTTATGAAATTACTTTCAGCATGAAATTCTTATTGGTGGCATGAAATTAATTGGAGAATGAAATTCATATTTGTGCTATGAAATCATGAGATTCATTTTTGTATGTCTTTTGAAATCAATTTGAGTATGAAATTCGTATTCGTAAATGAAATCAATTCGAGAATGAAATTCATATTCGTGCTGTGAAATTAATTTGATAATGAAATTCGTATTTGTGTTATGAAACCATTTTGAGTATGAAATTTATATTCGTGTTGTGAAATTAATTTGATAATGAAATTCGTATTTGTGTTATGAAACCATTTTGAGTATGAAATTTATATTCGTGTTATGAAATTAATTTGATAATGAAATTCGTATTTGTGTTATGAAACCATTTTGAGTATGAAATTTATATTCGTGTTGTGAAATTAATTTGATAATGAAATTCATATTTGTGTTATGAAACCATTTTGAATGTGAAATTCATATTCGTGTTGTGAAATTAATTTGATAATGAAATTCATATTTGTGTTATGAAACCATTTTGAATGTGAAATTCATATTCGTGTTGTGAAATTAATTTGATAATGAAATTCATATTTGTGTTATGAAACCATTTTGAATATGAAATTCATATCCGTGTTGTGAAATTAATTTGAGAATGAAATTCGTATTTGTGTTATGAAGCCATTTTGAGTATGAAATTTATATTCGTGTTGTGAAATTAATTTGATAATGAAATTCATATTTGTGTTATGAAGCCATTTTGAATGTGAAATTCATATTCGTGTTGTGAAATTAATTTGATAATGAAATTCGTATTTGTGTTATGAAACCATTTTGAATGTGAAATTCATATTCGTGTTGTGAAATTAATTTGAGAATAAAATTCGTATTTGTGTTGTGAAACCAATTAGAGTATGACGTTTATATTTGCGTTATTAACTCAAAATGAGTATGAAATTCATATTCGTGTCATGAAATTGTGGTATAAGTATATAGTTTTTTGGTTCGTATCTAGGAGCGACCTCCAACGATGAAATTTGCCCGATATCAAATAAGCTATTACAAGTAGGAATTTATGAATGGAATATGGAAGTAACCTGAGCTAATATATAGAACCAATAAGTTGATCCCCCGTTACAAGTAAGACAAAATTTAATAAAATTTCAAACAATAAAAATTTCCACGAGTAAATAATATAAAATTACAGTTCGAAAGATGCACTTATTTCCTTACGTATGACTAATTAAGGAATTTCAAAATACAAGGACATTAAAAGACTAGCCGATTCTGTTTAAGATAGAACTCAAAATCATCATTTACGAGTCTGAGTATATAGAATAACACTGCCTTGCTTCAATGCACAACATGTTGACTGATTCCGTCCCACATGTCCTCTCAGACTGTACTTCGGTTCAGGTATTTCAGTACGTCTTCCATTCCACTTTCTCTCGTTCCACCAATTCAAGATGCTTGACCTTTCGTTCCAACTGTCGCTTTCCTTCCCACACTGTTTGGGTTGTTTACTCTTTTTCAGACTATCTCACCTCGTTTTTTTTCCCTGCTTGTGTCTCTCCCTTGGATAACAATTGTTTAACGAGAAGTTTACTCTTTAAAATTCTCGGAGCCTTTCAGATCTTACTTCCGTTCTCCCTCGTAGAAAAGTGTAGACTAAAGTTTCAAAATCCCTCCAGTATATTTAAACTTAAGGTTTTTCGGTTTAAACTACGCCCCCTTCCACATCGTGACCAATCAGATTTATAATAATAACCGCCTTTCCGGTACTAAACTTTGCGTTATTTCTATCAACAAATGGCTACAACTGTGCTCTCTTCTACATTCAGTTCTACGCAGAACCAAACTTGAACCCCGCTAGGTAAGTTTAAACAAACTCAGCCCTTAATTAAAAAAAAAACTAATAACTTCTTGCCTCACCCGAACTAATCTGTACTTGATGACTTGTACAAGGTGGCCATTTCCCCATAAATCTCGTTAATGGTACATGTTTGCAAGTAAGTGTGTTCTACCATAATTAGTTCAAACAAACAAAGACCGACCTAAAAATTTGATTCTTTACAGAAATCAATTTGAGAATGAAATTCATATTTGTGTTATGAAATCGATTTGAGTATGAAGTTCATATTCGTGTTATGAAAACAATTTGAATATGAAATTCATACTCGTGTTATGAAATCAATTTGAGAATGAAATTCATATTCGTGCTATGAAAGTAATTGAGAATAAAATTCATATTCGTGCTATGAAATTAATTGGGAATAAAATTCATATTCGTGCTATGAAAGTAATTGAGAATAAAATTCATATTCGTGCTATGAAATTAATTGGGAATAAAATTCATATTCGTGCTATGAAAGTAATTGGGAATAAAATTCATATTCGTGCTATGAAATTAATTGGGAATAAAATTCATATTCGTGCTATGAAAGTAATTGAGAATAAAATTCATATTCGTGCTATGAAATTAATTGGGAATAAAATTCATATTCGTGCTATGAAATTAATTGGGAATAAAATTCATATTCGTGCTATGAAATTAATTGGGAATAAAATTCATATTCGTGCTATGAAATTAATTGAGAATAAAATTCATATTCGTGTTATGAAATCAATTTTAGCATGAAATTCATATTCGTGTTATGAAATCAATTTGAGCATGCAGTTCATATATGCAGCACAGGGGTCAAAATATTTGACCTTCTATTCATCTAATCAACTTTCTGTAAAATTCATAGGTCGGCTAATCTTGCTTTTAAAATAAAAAACACCCTCCCCAAACAAAAAAAAAAAAATTGAACTCTGTGGATACTTCTGGTTTCTGTGTTAGGTTTAGTTTTAGTTCTGTACTGCATACGTTTGGAAGTTTTTTGGAAACTGTTACTGTGACCCTGTCCTATGGGATTCCATTACCTATACTAAAATGTTCTGTGAGCTTTAAAAGTGTCATTAGAAGGAGAGTGGGGGGGGGATTCTATTACCTATACTTAAATGTTCAATTAACTATAACTGTTTAATTTTGGGACGCAATAAAAATGTACGATACCTTATCCTAGAAGAAAGCTAATGTCTTGTTGGTTTATACAAAATCATAAAATAAATATATTGATAAATAATGGTCGTTACTCCAGCCCAGGTCAGATTTCATGTTGAGTCTTTAAGGACGACCTTATTCCAGGTCAGTTCAGATGCCGTGTTGTGCCTGTAAGCAAGACCTTACTCCAGCTCAAGTCATAGGTCGTGTTGCGTCTCTAGGCAAGGTATCTTGCACCCGTTGGATCAGCACCAAATAGTGACCCATATGACCAAAGAGGGTTACACCTGCTGTTATTATTCTTATCTATCAATCAATCAATCAATCAATCAATCAATCAATCAATCAATCAATCAATCAATCAATCAATCAATCAATCAATCAATCAATCAATCAATCAATCGATCAAGCAAGTCGTTCTGCAACAGGAAAAGAAAGAAAAGACATCGTGAAGTATTGTCGAAACTATTAAACGGTTTCATTACATTATATTTTTAAGGATATGGATAAACAAAATGATAAATCTAGTTGTCTTCATAACATACTCCAGACAATCCAAAGTAAAGATTGACAAAAAAGAAAACAATGAAAAAACCTTGATTAGCATAGCAAATACTCCATTTCTAAATTCATTATAAGGAATGTATAACTGCTGTACGGTTTATAAATGGGAAGCGAAAAGAAGTTGAAAGGCGTATTGTAGATACATCATCAAAGAGGCTTGGAAATGGATGTCATGAGTACATATAACTCTCAAATAATGGTGTGCAGTCATCAAAATACAGAAAAGCTAATTTGGGTCAAACATGGCATTGAACATTAGCATCAACATGTCCGGTCAGTTCTTCCGTTGAAGATTGAATATGCCAATCACAAAGAAAATTAAGTACTTAATGAGAAAGAGGTGAGATGACAGTGATCCGGAACGGTGAGCGTTTTAGTCTACTCTGGGTCCGTGAAGCTTACTGTATAACAAAACTACGGTAAACCAGAATTAGTACATGAAAAAATAATGCATTAATCACGCATCATCTCGTGGCAGACGGGTATAAGATCATGGTGGTCAAACCGACTAGTTATCCTTAGTA